CAACAAAAAAGCAAAGAAGTGTCTTTGATAATATTGGTCCTGTCCTGACGTCACGATTTAAACGCGCAACTTGATTGGCATATAAGTCCAGCCATTTTACTGTTGAAATAGTTAATTGCAACAACCTCTTATATTCGAAAATTTTCCTTTCCCAAACTTTGCACCTGTGGAACACACTTCCGTTTCCTTGCTTCCCTGTTAACTACAATCTTCAAAAATTTAAATTCAGCATCAAACTGCATCTACTGTCAAGGTTGGGTCCTGTCACTGGATCTAACTAACGCCTTTATCCACTGTGCCATGTGTCCTTGATAGTTTCTGTCTATATTTCTGAGATGAGTTTCTGTTGCCATATTTATCACCCTTCAGTATCTGTCTATATTTCTGAGATGAGGTATTATGTACACTATTTACATTATTCAAAATATTATCCATCTTTGTTGCCATCATCTTTGTTGCCATTATTTATCATCTTTGTTGCCATATTTATCACCGTTCAGTATCTGTCTATATTTCTGAGATGAGGTATTATGTACATTATTTACATTATTTAAATTATTCGGACTATTTATCGTCATATCTGTCTATATTTCTTTGTTGTCGTCATCTTTATCATTTATCACCGTTCAGTATCTGTCTATATTTCTGAGATGATGTACATTATTTACATTATTCAAAAATATTATCCTCATCTTTGTTGCCATTTTATCACCGTTCAGTATTCTATATTTCTGAGATGAGGTATTATGTACTATTGTCGTCATCTTTGTTGCCATATTTATCACCGTTCAGTATCTGTCTATATTTCTGAGATGAGGTATTATGTACATTATTTACATTATTCAAAATTTATTCTTTGTTGCCATATTTATCACTTCATCTTCTATATTTCTGAGATGAGGTATTATGTACATTATTTTACATTATTCGGACTATTGTCGTCATCTTTGTTGCCATATTTATCACCCTTCAGTATCTGTCTATATTTCTGAGATGAGGTATTATGTACACTATTTTACATGATTCGGACTATTGTCCTCATCTTTGTTGCCATATTTATCACCCTTCAGTATCTGTCTATTTTCTGAGATGAGGTATTATGCACACTATTTATTATTGGTATTGTGGACTATTGTCCTCATCTTTGTTGCCATAGTTATCACCCTTCAGTAGCTGTCTATATTTCTGAGATGAGGTATTATGTACATTATTTACATCCTTCGGACTATTGTCCTCATCTTTGTCACATGGCACAGTGGATGAAAGCGTTGGTTAGATCCAGTGACAGGACCCAAAGAGTGTGAGTTCAATACCCGGTTAAGGCAGTTAAGAACTTTCAGAGGGAAATTAACAGGAGATAACTGATAACTGACATCCATTAAACATGGCACGTGGAACTAGAACAGTCTACCCCAGTGAGCGAAATAAAGGGTTCAGTTCGACATTCCAACTATCTGAAGAAGGCCGGAGCGTACAACGGCCGAAACGTTGTAATAAATATGGCGACAAAGATGAGGACAATAGTCCGAATAACGTAAATAATGTACATAATACCTCATCCCAGAAATATAGACAGATACTAATATGACTCTTAAAACTGGACAAGATTTTAAAACCTATAGCAAAAATTTGGCTGACATGAGACACATACATTCTGTTGGCATTGGTAATGAGCATCGATATTTCAACAATATCGAATGATCTCAAGAAAATTTGCAAGGTGAAGAAATTCGGTAAATGGATTAAACGCAGTTAAAGTAAAGGAACTGGAAGTTTTTTTTTTAGTTTGTGCGATGCTACACCTGCGAAATTCGAATGATTTGTTTCTTGATCGAATAATGTCTTGAGATGTGTTGTAACATACTTACGGACGATAACTTCCATGTCCCCATTCACATAAATGCAGTAGTAAACACTGCAAGCGGAGACTCGCCACATCTGATCGCATGGGGCGGTTGGTAGGTATCCTGCAGTTAGAGATTCGTCTCGAGTTGTGCTGGTCAAACTCTCTGCTTCCGGGCAGAGAGGCTCCTAATACGAGGCTATGTCGAAGGGCAGAGTCTCGTCTTGGGAAACAGCTGCCCGAACCCGTTTTATACGGGCTCCACGAGGAATTTTTGGCCGAGCCTACGGGCTCGGATATATCACATTAAATTCGGCCTTGTGCCACATTTGACCGCACAGTTGGTAGATATCTCGCATTAGGGGATTCATTGTGGAATTCACTTGACTCACTTCTATCAGTTGACTACTACTTCTACGCGCCGTTGGCAAATCTTATATGTGTTTTTCGTGTCCCAAGTATAATCGTTCATTATCAACCTTTGTGTGAGTGATTATATTACTCAGTAACCTTCCCTAGATTATAACAAGATGAGAAATGGATCCTTTATGACAATCGTAAATGACTGGTTCCATGGTTTGCTCATGACGAAGCAACCAAATATTTTGGAATTCTCCGAGGTTTTTATAACATTATTAGACTCTTTCTTGAGCAATAAGAATATATATATATATATATATATATATATATATATATATATATGTATGTAAGGGCAATAAGAATTTATAATTACGTGTGAATGGGTGGCAGGACGGAGATGGGGGAAAAGGGCCACACGAATTAAGAAATTAGGGAAAACAATGATCGGCTGTGGCCTGAAGCGACTCAGCATACAGAAGAAGACTGTGTGGTATTCGAAGCGTCAAATATAGTGTCAAACAATGTGATCAGTAGGCATCGTTTTAAAAACATCGAAATGAAATGAAATAGAGAAATAAACTGTTTTTTCCGAAAGTACAGAAAGATAGAATAATGGTCGGGTGGCTACTGGTATAAACCGTGTCTTCACAGAGACGTCAACAACTCAGTAGTGTTGTGGTTGTTTGGTTGATTTTGTTTCGCGGCATATCAACAACTCTATGGGTTATTTAATGCCGAAATCTAAATATTTGGAACACAATTTTATGGTTTCAAATCCGTACATATGAAATGTATTGTTGCTCTTTTTTTATATAAAATTTTATTCTTCCATATTGATTGTTTGGTTGACTTTGTTTAGCGGCATATCAACATCTCCATGGGTTATTTAATGCTGAAATCTAAATATTTGGAACACAATTTTATGGTTTCAAATCCGTATATATAAAATGTATTGTTGCTCCTTTTTTATATAAAAAAGCTTTTTTAGCTTAAAAGACGTACATATAAAATCTATTCTTGTTGTGTTTTATATAAAATATAATTTCATATTAGATGTTTGGTTGATTTTGTTTAGTGGCATATCAACATCTCTATAGGATATTTAATGCCGAAATCAAAATATTCCGCATGCAATTTTATGCTTTCAACTATCTATATCTTGTCCAGAATAGGCAAGTGGTTAGAACGTTGTCATTCTGACCATGAGACCCGGGTTTGAATCACAGAATGATGTTATCAGATTAGATATGCCCAGCGTGCGACACCTTTGGAAAGTGCCTGAAAACCATACCACGTCTTGTAAATGAACCTGAGTACAACCCTTAGAGGCCGTCGTTAGCTGTGCTAGCACGAAGTCACAAGTCATCGTGGCCGAGGGCTTGAGCGTGCTGGCCTTGTTCAAATTGTTGATCACGCTAGATAACACGCTCTCTCCCAGAAACTGTAACTAAAGTCTGCTCGGCATAATTACAGGATAAACCACAGACGGTTTCAATGGGTGTTGAATAAAGCAAATACTCGTTGTATATTTTATTCACGTGAACTTTCTCGACAAGTACGACGCAACTCCTACATATTCGGTGGGATCCTCAGGCGACCTCTCTAACCATTTTTGGATATATCGCCCGAGGCGAAAATGTAAAAAAAAGAAAAAAATCCCTCGTTTCGTCCACAACCCCATTGTCGTAGGTTACCTCCCATTCATTTTCTGTTGGTTTGAGTTATGGCACCCTAGACGACACACTAGAACAACTCCCTTTCATCTCGTCGGTACAGCAACTCCCACAACAGGATAAACAAGAGAATGAAAGGATAGAGGCAAAGATTGAAAGAAGATTAGAGGCATGAGATAATTGATGATCTAAGATGTCAGTACCCGTGGAATTTCCGTGGGTCCAGCTAGATATAATTATCAAAACACCTTTCAGTCGCCAGCCTAATGATTATATTAGATACAAATGTCAATTAATTATCCTAGGGAATGGAAAATTTCACGTAGTTCATCTTGAAATTGTTACGCTTAGACCCTCCCTAGGGAAAATTGGGTTGGAGTTGCCATTGTTATTTCGACTATATTATATTTTACCCAAGTTTATAAAAGTCCTCTGGAGATCGTTCAAAAAGATCGGAGTCTCTTTGAAGTAGATTCTTCTTTTTTTTTTTTTTTTTCACTTTGTTCTCAAAATGGAAAATAAGTTTCCCAAAACGCCAGTCGAAGTTTTCACACAAGGATAGGAAAAGAAATATTTACTAGCGTTCACTAATTAACTAACACACAAAGATGAAACATATTGATGCAAAAGTTTACAGCATTTTTGGCTTACGGCCATCTCACAGTAAAATACAGGTTCTCGTTCGACAGTACTTAGATGGGAAAAGAGGTGGATTCATGCCTTTTCCAAGGGCATTGGCGCCTAAATAAATATAGTGACCCCGACTGGAATTGGAATTCAATTTATTATTTAGATGGGTGTCCGCTTGGGAATATCAGGAGCTGTCCGCTGGGATGTGCAGGTCGTATGTTTTACGACCATATCACATTGAAAAAATGGGTGTCGTACGATCATCAAAGTTAAGTAACGTCGACACTGGCCAGTACCTAGATGGGTGACCGCTTAGGAATACCAGGTGCTGTAAGCTTGGATGTGCAGGTAGTATTGCTTACGACCATATCACGTTGAAACACAGGATGTTGTACGGTTCCAAAGTTAAGCAACGTCGACACTGGTCAGTACCTAGATGGGTGACCGCTTGGAAATACCAGAAGCTGTAAGCTTGGATGTGCAGGTAGTATTGCTTACGACCATATCACATTGAAACACTGGATGTCGTACGATCAATAAAGTTAAGCAACGTCGACACTGGTAAGTACATAGATGGGTGTCCGCTTGGGAATACCAGGTGCTGTAAGCTTGGATATGTAGGTAGTATGGCTTACAACAATATCAGGTTGAAATACCGAGTCTCGTACGACCACCGAAGTAAAGCAACATCAAAACTGGTCAGTATCCAGAGGGACGACCACTTGGGAATACTAGATGCTGTAAGCTCGGATGTGCAGGTAGTATGGCTTACAACTATATCATGTTGAAACACCGGTTCTCATAGAATCACCGAAGTTAAGCAATGTCGAGTTTGGTCAGTACCTAGATGGGTGTTCGCTTGGGAATACCAGGACCTGTAAGCTTTGATGTGCAAGTGGTTTAATGGATAAGAGCACGAAATGAGAAGTCTGAAAGTCGAATTCGAATCCTAGTCGGGTTAAGAGTTGCTTCCACGCTCCTAAAAACCTCCAATCTACCGATCAGTGGTCTTGCTGCCGGATGTAGTTAATCATCATACCCAAGAACGCGTGATGTTAAAGCCAAAATCAATGCTTTTGTAGAATCTCGTAAATGCCAGGTGAAAACAATCTTCTCCTTGGTTCCCACCGTCCTTCCCAGCCGCCATAGCCCACAGGAATATTTTTTTCCGTCTGAACCAGCCTGATAATTCCGATCACAAACGACGCCTCTTTGTTTCTGCTTGTAATATTTTCAAATGTGCCCTCAAAGAGGATATGTCCAGGATGCGTGATGTTTTCGGATGGATGTTGAAACTGTGGCCATATACTGAGTTACTGATGGATTATTTAAGATAACGACTCGATATATATTGATTTTCTGAAGGCACCCGTAGACTCATGGTTCAAGAATGTTGTAAGGAAGTCGTTTTGTTGTTTAATAATTTGTTTGTTTAACTCATGGGTCATTTCATGCCGAAATTTAATTTATTGGAAGCGTTGATATCTAGCTGGGTTTATTATATTCACTTCTCCGTAAATACCCTTGGGAAAAGGTATGGATCCGTTTGTTCTCTCCCCACAATCTATGGGTTAAAAATTTAATTCCAATTTGGAATTTACTTAAAATGTAGTTATTATTTAAGTAAATTCCATGGGACTAACTTGGTATGGAACCCCGCTGTAATTGTAGAAAAAGTGAAAATTGTCCATTTGAAGGAAAATACAGATCTACTAAGGTGATATACCAAGCAACCATTTATCCCAAAGAAAATAAGTTAAATCCCCATTTCTTGTTTCCCTGATAGCTATAATCTACAACTATTCAAATGTAATGTCAATCGACGTCTCCAGATGCCTTGATCTATCCTCTATCCTTCTCTTCATCCTTTCCTCTATCACTCCTCTCTGCTCTCACTCCAACTCTCTGTAACCCCTTGCGTGCTAGTGGCTTCCCGCCTGGCTTGGGGTGGAATGCTTAAAAAAAATGACAACGTTTACGTTGGAATTTCTGCGGGGGAATGGAAACAAAGACTTTACAACCATAAGGACTAAAAAACCCAAAATTAAAATATCAGACAGCTCTTTCCAAAAAATTTTGGGAGTTGGGGGAGAAAGGTCTGAAACCTCAGATTAACTGGAAAATTATAGGTTACGCACATACTCTTAATAGTCTTAGGAACAGGTGAGACCTATGTTTAAAAGAGAAAATTAGAATAATAAAATTCAATCATCAAAGCAAACTATTAAATCAAAGGAATGAATTCGTTTTAAAATGTCGTCACAGGAGTAGGTTTAAACTTCTATAATATCTTTGGTCTTACTTTATTTTTTTTAATTATCTACCCCTTCTAATTTTCTTTGTTTTCTTTATTCTTTATCTTTTTAATTTTTAAAAAGTTTTTTTTTTAGTTTTTTTTTTTTTATATATTCTGGGTATGCTTTGTATTCTTAATACTTTAACTTATGTTTAAAATTTTAAATAGTATAATTATTTTTATTTTTATTCAATTTTTTTATATATATTTTTTTTAATATAAAGTATCTGAAAACGATTTATTGTTAATCTTATTACATCTTATTTGTAAGCATATTTCGATAATTTTGAGTGGTAACAATTTTTTTTTGCTGTATAATTAATAATTTCGTTTTGTAAAACTTCTTTTCGGCCTTCGTTTAGTTTCACTCCATCATTCTTATAACCCCAATTTGGGGTTCTAAGGTTAATATCTGGGTTGAATTTGTGTAGCTTCTTTCCTTTTAAGACAGATAACTTCCTCCGCACCTTACGACTATTCGGTCAGTCTGTCTTGTCTGCTATGTTATGGGTTGGCTCTGTATCAATTTATCAACTGCTGCCTTTGTTAATAAATTTTAAATCTCTAGATCCGACAGTGAATACAGTCCATCATTTGAGTTGAATAAAGCTAACGCATTGGACGTTAGTTGAAATAGTCTATACTCAAGAGGTGATTTTGATTTCTCTCTTATGTAATTTAATATATATATATATATATATATATATATATATATATATATATATATATAAAAGTACGATGACAAAAAATAGAGTGTAATTCCAACGTAGGGCTCGATACAGAGTAGAGCAATGTTATTTATTTTAGGATATTAGACCGAAAACGTAAAAATCGATATGCAATTGCATTCGTATTTGAGTGCATATCAATGCATCTCATAAGGCGATTATAAATTACCTAATTTACAATCGCCTGATGGGATGCAGTGATATGCATTGAAACACGACTGCAATTGTTTACCGATTTTACATATTTTCGACCTAATATATATATATATATATATATATATATATATATATATATATATATATATATATATATAAATTAACTGATTTAATTTTGGTTTCTTCGCTACACAGTAATAACCATGTTTCAAAAAACTAAAGCTAAAAACTTCAAATTAATTATATAATTAAATTTGAATTTTTTGTCAGTTTTTGAAACATGGTTATTACTGTGTAGCGAAGAAACCATATTTTAAATCAGTTAATTTATAATATTTATGCTCTGTAAATTTACATTGAGCACTGTTTTGTAAAAAAAAATATCAATAAGAACACCGGATTATATATCTTACTGTTCTTTCTTTCTTTTATATATATATATATATATATATATATATATATATATATATATATATATATATATATATAGTACAGGGTAAAATCGTTGGTATATAATCGAAATGGATCCTAGTCATATGGGCGGAGTCAGTCTTATTCAACCCCGGTATATAAACTTAGTTCGTGTCGGAATTAGAAATTTAAATTTGACAGCCGTCGAAAAATTGTTACAGAATTTATCCATTTCGACTAAATGCCCAAGACGGTGATTAGGGAGGAGGAAGATATTAGACTTAAACGGAAGAAGTTTTATAAAATTAAACCCGGATGTTAACCTTATGACATTAAATTGAGGTTATATGAAGAATGGGGTGTTAATTTGAAACTAAAAGAAGGCCGAAAAGGGAGTTTTCTAAAATAAAAAAATAAATAAAAAAGTGTATATATAAAAGGTTAGGTTTTAATACTTCAAAAAATAATAAAAATATAAATATATTTAAATGATTTAAAAATAAGTCATATTTACATAATTTATATTAAATTTAAGTAAGAATATATTTAAAAAATTTATATTAAAGAATATAAATAAAAATATGATAAGTTAAAATAAATTATACATTTTAAACTTGAAACATAAGTTATATGAAAAAAAAACAAAACAAATCACACAAAGTTATATTTAAAAAACCTAAAAAATCTTTACATAGTGTCCATAAAGTTCATGTACACTTAAAAATTTATAACTTTATTTGTATTATAAATTTTTTTAAAGTGCACACGAACTTTACGGACACCAGTATATATATATATATATATATATATATATATATATATATATATATATATATATATATATATATATATATATATATATATATATATATATATATATATATATATATAGAAGAGAGAGAGAGAGAGAGGTGTAAGAGATAAAGGAAAAGTGTGTTCTTAGAAAAGGGTAATTATTAGAACATATATATATATATATATATATATATATATATATATATATATATATATATATATATATATATATATATATATATATATGAAAATGCTTTGTATCGCATATTATTAAAAGGTCGTAAACTCAAATAAATATTTTTGTCAGTGAGATTGCTGTAGGGAAAGAAATGTTATTTTCTTACCCCAAACCAATTTTGGAAGCATTTTCGGGTTCTAATACTTTGTTCCGAATTCCTAGATATTCACTTGGTAGACATTTATTCTCTTCAGAATGTAATGGCGCCGACCGTCTGACTGCCGACTCCACGGATTAAGAGAACCAGAATAGCAGACACCACTCGGGTTGTGGGGGTGGGGATCAAGTGGACCTGAGGACCGACGAATTACTTCTTCAAACCCTCCTACCATCTCAGCAGCAAACATTTCCATCAGGTACTCGAGTTCCTTACTTGATTCTAGTTTCATTGCAATCCGACAGAATTTCAGGCTTTCTTTTTAGCTGTATGTTTAGATTAGCGTTACTTTTAAGTTCTCAGTAATACTACACAAGAACAGTGATTATCTCTGTCACCGGGTTCGAATATGGCAGCTTTTATAGCGATTTTCCAAGCGCAGTTTAGATGTGGCACAAGGCCGAAAGTATTGGGCACCCAGTGAGGATCGAACTCACTACTCACTCGTAATTCTTCTAGCGAGGTACCCAAATGATTTTCCAAGCGTAGCTTAGATGTGGCACAAGGCCGAAAGTATGGGACACCTAGTGAGGATCGAACTCACTACTCAGTCGTAATTGATCTAACGAGACAAGCTTGCTAACCATTACACCGTTATTTTCTAAGCGTAGCTTAGATGTGGCACAAGGCCGAAAGTACGGAGCTCTTAGTCAGGATCGAACTCACCCATATGGCAGCTTTTATATAGAAACACTCCTATGCGGTAAGACTTCTTTACGAAACGATGTTGGCACAAGGCCATCGGTATAGAGCACTCAATAATATTTCTTAACCAGACGATATTGTTCGACTTTACACTTCGCCTAAATTCAATTCATTCTTTTTATTTACTAGATGTAACTTAGTTTGGCACAAGGCCGTAACTACTGGGCACTTGAGGATCGAACTCACTACTCTGTCATTTAGCGACGTTACGAACCCAGATGATGCGCTCTGCCTGTCATTTTTTTTTACAATGATGCCCATTCTGTACAAGGCACAAAAGCCACTCGAGGTAGAGGGTTGCAATAATAGGGACCCTCCCACGCAAGGGGTAAAAAAAAAAAAACATCGCTCGGATCTACATTTTTTGTACACTCGATGACCAGAAAGGAAACATTTGTGGAAATGCAAAATAATAATAATAATAAACTTAATCGCAGTGCCTTGTCAGTCGTCTTTTTTTTTCAGTTATATTCACTCTGTACAAGGCCCAAGAGCCACTTGAGGTAGAGGGTTACTGATTAAGAGGCAGCGCCTCAGCCAAGGTGATATAGCCACCAAGACGCAAGGAGCAACCGGAAGTGAAAGAGAAGGTAAAAACTTTAGAAGGAACCGGAAACTGTTTCTGTACAAAAGACTGGGGTGGAGTGTGAACTGGACGATAAGTGAACCTATCTACTCGTGATGTTAACAGGATCATCTTGGTGGTTCTTCTGTTCCCATAGCTTATGGAAGCTAAAGAATATTGACATGACCTGCTGGATATGCGGCTCGTCCCCCCCGGCACTAAATGTGGATGTAATTCGAACCAGCCCCGCTTATATTTAAACAACGACGATTCTAATCAGGTGCCTCGGGTGACAATAATTAAGGGTGCGTGGTCGACCATTGTGCTATCAATGAGGATTAGTAATGCCGTAGATCAGCCCTTCTCGGTATACATGTGACACAGTAAATCGCGGGATGTCAAGCGTCCCCCAAAATTACAGAAAGTGAATTACTCCTCCGCCTGAAACGGAATATTAAGCCCCCGTTCGAATTCGGAATATTTACGTTGCTTTGTTATTAACAGCCGAACTGGTGCCCATAAATATAGTGGGTACACCACTAGAACCAATCGTAGTTTCTGAGACCCCTGAATGATTTTTCAAATCGATAACAGAACTGTATTAATCTTATCTGTATTTAAGACGGAGATTAAAAATAATCCTTCACATTTCTAATTAAGAAAATAAGGGTTTACTTATAGAGAGCCGGGTCTGCAGTGATGAAAAGTGAACTTAAATTTTACATTTAAACTTTAGGGGGGCGGATTTTCAATGATTATAAAGCATTCAGTACCATCAAAATATAAGGATATAAATCTAAGATTTACGGCCATATCACGTTGAAACACAGGTTCCAGTACGATCACCGAAGTTAAGCAACGTCGAGCTTGGTTAGTACCTAGAAGGGTGACCACTCGGGAAGCAACGTCGAAACTAGTCAGATGGGTGACCAGTTTGGAATACCAGGTGCTGTAAGCTTGGATGTGCAGGTAGTATGGCTTACGACCACATAACGTTGAAATACCGGTTCTCGCACGATCACCGAAGTTAAGCAACGTCGAGACTGGTCAGTACCTAGATGGGTGACCACTTGCGAATACCAGGTGCTGTAAGCTTGGATGTGCAGGTAATATGGCTTATGATCACATCACGTTGAAACACTGGATCTCACACGATCTACCGAAGTTAAGCAACGTCAAAACTGGTCAGTACCTAGATGGGTGACCACTTGGGAATACCAGGTGCTGTAAGCTTGGATGTGCAGGTAGTATGGTTTACGACCACATCACGTTGAAACACTGGTTCTCACACGATCACCGAAGTTAAGCAACATCGAGACTGGGAATACGAGGTGCTATAAGCTTGGATGTGTGGGTGTTGTAATGGATAATGGCTCGGAATCGGAAATCAGAGAATCGAATTCCAATTCCCGTTGGCTTCGTTATATTAACTTACACACAATTACCTTTGGAAAAACATGAATCCACCTTTTCTCCCCTGCCTATGGGTTAATTAGTAAAGAGTTGTATCACTAAACCATTATTATCTCCCCCCTCCAAATTCTTAAAATTTAATTTGATCTTGCTTTAAATAACTTGAAAAGGGTTGATATGCCGTAGAAAATGAATGAATCAATCAATGAAATACCGATTAGCTACGCAGGCATGTCTTTTAGATTTATTTACATTCGCTGGAATATAAATGTATAGAAACTATCGTGGCCACTAAATGAGGGGTCAGTTTACACATCGATTGTAATATAAAATGAATCCACCACTTTATGACCACATTATAATTTCTTGTTTGTTTATCAAATTCTGATTAGGTATGAATCCACCTCTTCTCTCCCCAGCTATGGGTTAATTAGTAAAGGCTTGTATCACTTAACCATCATCATCACAAAAAAAATCTTACTGTCTAAAAACATTTGAAATAACCTGCAAAGAGCTGATAAGCCGTAAAAAACGAATCAGTCCATCAAACGATCATAACTTGACAAATAGTTGGATTTAAAGAATAATGGCTCCATTTTTGTTCTTTCTTTTTATTTGAAGATTTCCATATGTTATTTTATTTATTTGGTCGAGCTAGCTGGAACATTCAGGAGTCTATCAGGCCAGCCATCGCGGTATAATGGGCAGAGGGTCGTTAAGACCGCGTCCTGTGTCATAACATAGCTGGTCAATGTAGGTGATTGCTGGCTGAACAAGCCGTCTTGCGCCATGGCTAGGTGTCCAGAACAGTAGATTACTCGCAAGTTCTTGTTCTGTCGCCAGCAGTGTCTTGCAAAGCGTATTATGCGTTCGTGTAAGGTTGTAGAAATATTAGGGATAGGTCCATAGAGCTGTGATTTAGTTGGATATTGTCTCCAAGAGATATTAAGTATAGCCCTAATGCACCTCAGGGTTTTAGTTAATGTCTAAGCTGTGGCACCATACATTAACACCACTTCTGGCTCGGATTAATCTCCTCTTGAGTTTGTCTGGTAGATTACGTTTCCAGATTGCATACAATTTTTTTTTATTATTCAGGGCGGTCCAGGCTTTAGCTATGCGTATTTTCACATCTATTTCAGTAGAATTTAATCTGCTTCCAAAGGTATATAAAAAATTCGATAGATTTTATTGAATCACCTGAGACAGTTTGTATTGAGCCTTGTTAATTAATACCAGGTTCTAATTTTTATTTTTATCTTAAATTCGGGATTTTACGGTGGGCATTAACAATCCCTCATGTTCTTGCATCAAGGTCGGAAGGTCATTAGAGAGGCATTCTGTGTTGTAACATAGCTGGTCAATGTAGGTAGTTACTAGGCGACCAGCCTGTCTTGCACCATGGCTAGGTGTCCAGAACAGTAAATCTCTCGCGAGTTCTTGTTTTGCTCGCCAGCAATGTCCTGCAAACTGCATTATGTGTTTGTGTAAGATTATAGAACTATCAGGGATGGTTCCGTAGAGCTGTGATTTAGTTGAATGTTGTCTCCAAGAGATGTTTATGTATAGCTTCCAGCATCCAAGTGTTGGTTCCATCAAGCTTAGGGTTTAAGTTAATATCCAAGAATAAAAAAACGGAAATAATTTCAAAGAAAGAAAAAAAAAAGGGAAAGAAAGAGAGAAAGAAGGATTAAGAAAGAAAGAAAGAAAAATGGGATTAAGAAAGAAAAAGAAAGAACGGATGAAATAAAAGAAATAAAGAAAGATTAAGAAAGAAAGAAAGAAAGAAAGAAAGAAAGAAAGAAAGAAAAAGGGATTAAGAAAGAAAAAGAAAGAAAGAGGGTATGAAATAAAAGAAAGAAAGAAGGATTAAGAAAGAAAGAAAGAAAGAAAAATGGATTAAGAAAGAAAAAGAAAGAGCGGATGAAATAAAAAAATAAAGAAGGATTATGAAAGAAAGAAAGAAAGAAAAAGGGATTAGGAAAGAAAAAGAAAGAAAAGGGATAGAGAAAGAAAGAAAAGGGATAAAGAAAGACAGAGTAGATGAAATAAAAGACAGAAAGAAAGAAAAAAGAAATGGTGAACGAGGAAAAAAGCGGGGATAAAGAAAGAAAGAAAGAAAGAGAGCATGAGGAAAGAAAGAAAGAAAGAAAGAAAGAAAGAGGGCGTGAGGAAAGAAAGAAAGAAAGAAAGAAAGAAAGAGGAGATGAAAAAAAGAAAAAAGATGTGTAAGTGGTGGAAAAGAAAGAGGTAAGAAGGAAATTGATGAGAAAGAAAAAGAAAGAAAAAGAAAACGAAAAAGAAAGAAGGAACTTGAAAATAGTGAGAAGGAAAGAGAAAAAAGAAAGAAAGAAAAAGGAGAAAATATGAGAAGCAAAAAAAAAAAGAAACGACGAAGAAAGAGAGACTGGTGATAAAGAAAGATATTGATGAGAGAGAGAGAGAGAGAGAGGGGGGAGAAAAAGGAGAAAGACAGATAAAGGAGAATGTGTTAAGAATGAAAGAGACGAAAAGATAAAAGAAAAAAAACAATGAAAGAAAAGAAGAAACTGATGAGAAAAAAAGGAAGATAAAAGAAAGGGGGGAAGATGAGAAAATTAATGAGAAAGAAAGAGAAGAGTATAAAAAAGAAAGAATGAAAAAGTCAAAGAAAGAGAGATAGAAAGAAAGGCAGGAAGAAAGAAAAGCGATAAAGTGGTCAAAATAAAAAAAGAAGAAAATAAAAAAGTAAGAAAGAACGAGGAGAAAGAAAGAAACAAAGAAAGAAGAAAGAAAGACAGAAAGTAAAAGGAAAAATTGATGAGAAAAAAAAAGAAAGGAAGACTCAAAGAAAGAAGCGGGATAGAAAACAAGAAAAAAAAAGAAAGAAAGAATCACTGCCAAAGAAAGAAAGAAGGAAAGAAAGAAACAAACAAACAAAAAAGAAAGTGAGAAGAAAGAAAGAAAGAAAGAAAGAAAGAAAAAAAAGAAAAAGGGCAAATTGTGAAAATGGAAAAGGAGAAAAAGTAAGAAGTAGACAGACAGAAAGTAAAAGGAAAAAATGATGAGAAAAAAAGAAATGAAAGAGAAAAAAAGAAAGCAAGAAAAAAGAATGATAGACAAAGAGAGACAGAAAGGAAAAAAGAAAGAAAAAGAAAGAAAGCAGGAAAAAAGAATGACAGACAAAAAAAGAAAGACAGAAAGAAAGAAAAAGAAAGAAAGAAAGAAAGAAAAAGAAAGAAAGAAAGAAAGAAGGAAAGAAAGAAATAAAGAAAGAAAAAGAAAGAAAGCAAGAAAAAAGAATGACAGACAAAGAAAGACAGAAAGAAAGAAAGAAAAAGAAAGAAAGAAAGAAAGAAAAAACAAGAAAAAAGAATGACAGACAAAGAAAGACAGAAAGAAAGAAAGAAAGAAAGAAAGGAAAACAAGAAATGAGTGTAAAAGAGAGAAGAGAAGAAAACTCTTTGTGTAAATACCAGATGAAAGTGGAAAGAAAAAAGTGAAAAGGGGCAAAATGGGTCATCTGAAAAGATAATGTCGACTTGTTTATATATTTCTTAGCGACTTTGCCCTTGAATTTTTGCTTTCCATCCCTCTCTTTTCATTTTCAGAAATGTCCTTACCTTATGTCTGAGAAATTTACGGTAAATTATTAAATAGCGCACCTCCGTGTGGAATGTCCGTTTGTAACTCTCATGCCAGTATAGATCGGGTGTGAAACGAAACATCTCACTCAAGCGGTCTTGTTTCGAAGAGTTCCTGGCGCTAAACGGCATTTGCGTTCTTATGCGAATGGTATCGCCTCTTTTGTTCGATGTTGAACATTTCCAGCCATGTCTGCTGAGAATATCCTTGGGCCCAACGCCTACAATGAGTTCAAATAAGCTTTTCTCATCCGATTAAGCAATTAAACTAATCGTTTTAAAGCCGATGCTCCCATGGCCGCCCCAACAGCGGACGAGACGAAAAGACTTCTAACTTTTTGCACTGATGACAATAAAAGCAAACAAAAAGAAATAAAATTAAAAAAGAAAAGAAAAAAAAAACATGGCGGGGAGGTAGTCGGGAAACCGGGGGAAAAAGAAGAAGAAGAAAGCGAAAATTAAATCGATGAAACAACATGAAAAAAATTGACCAGATTTCGTCGAAGACACAGACAAATGACAATAAAAAAAATATGAAAAAATTTGAACTGGATATCCGAGTTCAAAACTAGATCAAGTCAATTTTTCTGTAAACATCAATTATCATTATCATTATCATTATTTCACGTTTTCTCTCCACAGCAGAATTTCTCAATTTTATTTATTTATTTATTTTTTAATTTAAGTTGGTTGACTTAGTTGATTTTGTTTAGTGGCATATCATCATCTCTATGAGTTATTTAATGCCGAAAATTTAATATTTTGAACAGAATTTTATGGCTTCAACTAATTTCAACGCAATTGTATGCCTTCAACTACAGATAAATATTTATTGCGAGTCCTTTTGCTTTAAATATGTATTGTTGGTTGGTTGGTTTTGTTTAGCGTCATATCAACATCTCTGTGGGTTATTTAATGCCGAAAATTTAATATTTTGAACAGAATTTTAAAGCTTCAACTAAATATATTTTAAACGCAATTGTATGCCTTCAACTACAGATAAATATATATTGCGAGTCATTTTGCTTTAAATATGTATTGTTGGTTGGTTGATTTAGTTTAGCAGCATATCAACACCTTGGGGATCATTTTACTAAAATATTATATAAAAATAATTCATAAATTACTCTTCCGTTAACTTGGGGCTAAACTGGTTCCATTTCCGGACACATTAGTGAACTCAGTTGTATCTGTT